TTTTTTTTATTGTTATTATTGTTGTTGTTATTGTTGTCGTCGTCATCGTCGTAGTCATTTTTTCACACTTCGCTAGCACTATTTAACAAATTTCTATGTTACCGATAATTATTCGTCCATGATAAGAAATCAATTTTCGTTGCCAACTTGGAACGAATAAATACTCATCCTTTCCCTTCCCCCTTTCTCTTGGAGCTTCTCCGTTTCTCGTCTCTCGAGTATTGGAAATAAGAAAGAAAGGAAAAAGAGAAAAGAAGAAAAGAAAGAAAAAAAAAATTGAGAAGATCAAACGAGAGTCGAATTCGAAATTTATTTCTTTTTTTTCCAACTCCAGTTCCTTCTCGCGATACTACAAAGAGAACAAAGAAGAGTCTCTTTCTCTCTCTTTTTTTCTTTTTCTTTTTCTTTTTCTTTTTCTCTTTCTCAAATTTTCCCGCAAGAAAGAAGCTCGATTCGATGCAAAAATCTTAATCTCGAGTAGTCCATCTTTTTCTTTATTTTTCTCCTTTCTTGTATTTTTTTTTCTTTTTTTTTTCTTTTTTTTATTTTATGCACCTATATATCGATCGTTCAACGGTAATGATATACGAGCAACGATTATTCTTTCTAATCGTTGACTTTCTAGATTATGTTTTGCCACGTTTTTAGGTTCATCCTCTTGGTGGTTCATTGTGCGTGCCGCGAAAGCGAAGACCCGCTTGCTCATTCGCGTCTTCACCTTTATCGAAGCCAGCATTACTGTTATCATAATCATCATTATTTTCATAATCATCATTATCATCGTTATCATCGTTATTATTATTATTATTACAATTATCATCATTATCATCGTCCTCATCGCCATCATCGTTATTATCGTTGCTATTGTTATAATTGCTGTTGTTGTTATTGTTGTTGTTGTTGTTGTTGTTGTTGTTATTATTATTCTTCTTGTTATTCTTCTTTTTTTTCTTGTTTATATGATCATAAAACGATTTAGAAGCGACAAGGAATGGATGCTCATGGCGTATCACTTTTCTCTAGGTTTCCAAACCTGGTACGAGGCTGTGGAAAGTTTGGATATCGTGGAAAGCTCTGCCACAGCTCTGATTGTTGTTCCTTTCAAATTTGGCCAAGTCAAAATGTTCATCGAGCGATTGCAACTCGACCAATCGTTCCTCCAACGTTTTCGCTGAATCTGCGAACCTAGCAAAGTCACAGATCCTGTCAGGATCGCAACCAACTACATCAGCGACTTCCATCATGCCTACGTCCGTTGATCTGCTTTCCAATTGAGTACTGGGGTCATCCAGGTCAGCTGGGAAGAGGACAGAGTTGTTGCAGGTATTTGTGTTGATGTTTGGCGTCATCGTCGTCGTTGCCGTTGGCGATGCCGCTTGTATCGTTGGTGTTGTCGTTGACGTTACGTTCGCCGTAGACGTATGATCAACCATGTTCGTTGGACCACGTACGTCGACTGTACCACCCAAACGATCCTCCGTATAGACCAAATGATGATGAGCCGATTCCGCGTCGTGAACATCATCGATATGAGAAAGTAATCGAGGGGTTGGGGGTAGGATGTAAAAGTCGCTGAAAACATCGTCTTGTAGATCCAACTCGTCGTGCCTTTGACGTTTCGTACTAAGCCCGTCATTTCTCGTATCATCGGCTAGCCTATGGAAAGAAATATTGAAAAAAAAAAATCGATTTTTATCGATCAAACTCGTAATAACTTTTGATTGATATTTTCCCTTTAACCTTTAGAAATTAACAAAAATGAAAATAATTCTTCGCTCACCTCTTTCTCGAGTTAGTGTCATCGTCGATGATAAGATTACTGGAAACATTATTCTCCTTCGTCGAGTCATTCAAATACGTGACCACCGGAAGACCATAGTTTCTAGTCTTCTCGTCCCGGTTTTCACGCTGCAATCGTCTAACTGCATTGTTTATTAGAACCGATCTGCACAAACTCGCTTCGGGATCTTCGATTCTACGTAATTTTCCAGCTGATATTTTAAGAAGTCGACGACGTTCCTCTCTCGCACGATACTTTGCCGAAATCATCGTTGGTCTGCTCCTACGAATCACTAAATCCTCCTCCAATCTCATCTTAGCGCCTGCAAAAAAGAAAATGAAAATGGAACGATTTATAGATTTTGTTTATATCGACAACGTATGAGAAATTATATCCGCCTATCGAATCAATATTTACGATAAACTCGGAGCAACATATTTGATATTTTTAAGGGAAGGGGAAATGGACGAACAACATCGGAGATTACCTGGATCGGTGCCTAACTTGACGTGTTACGTCACAGTTATATATCAAATGGAATCTCTTTGAAGGTGATTATTTTTGATCGAGCTATGATATAATGATTAGTTCTTCTACTGTGAAACTTTAAAGTGTATTGTATCAAAAGGTTATTAAAATCATTTTAGAATATCTAGTATGTAATTTTCTCTAACTATAATTATATTATGGAATTAAATTAAATTCCATATATATATATATATATATATATATATAATTATAGAATTAAATAAAATTCAATATATATTTAATAAGATTAAAGATTTCAGTGAATCAGATTTTTAGTAACCCCCAAAATTAATTTTCTTACATTTTTAAGAGAGAAACCAATGAGAAAAATAAGAAAAAAAAACAAAAAAAAAATAAATAAAATGAAAATAAAAACGAAAACAAAATGGAGACATTGATAAACAAGCGATCATGTTTTCTTATAAAGATAGACTATGTCGATAACGACGGAGGTGCCTTTTTCTTTTCCCCTATTGTCAACGACTGACCCAGATACACGTTTCCGTCTTTTCGACAAAACGCGATCGAATTGATGCTAGTCTGAAACATCTTCTCTTTATTTTTTCTTTTTTTTTTTTTCCTTTTCGAAACACCATCATCATATCCTGCCCTACAAAGAAGAATACACAACAACCACGACGACAACGATAACAACGACGACGACAACGACGACGACGACGACGACGATGACGATGACGACGACGACGCGATACATACTCGAACATATTATTTGCTTCAAGGTCGACGAAATTATCTCTTGTTGGCGATACACGCACACACGACACAACACGTTTCAAAGCTTTCGAAAGGTTCAATTGGTGATAGTTCGTTGTTCCATCTTACGATTCGAACGTTTGAAAAATTCATTATATATAATAGTTAATTCATAAAACTCAATATGGCGATATATCATTGACAAACAATTAGACAAACGTTTCGATCTGCTACTTTTTTTTTCTTTCTTCGTAATATATTATATTTTATTTTTTCTTATTTTTATCCAATATCTTATAGATTAATTTCAAGACGCGAAGACATGAATTATATTGTAATATAACACATTTTATAAGAACAAATGTCAATGAGAAATCTATTATTTTCATGATTAAAAAGAATGTATTCAATTTTTTTCTTTCCTCATTACATTATCACTTGTATAATTATATTTTTTATTATTATTATTATTTTTCTCTTTTCTTTTTATTTTTATTTTTATTGAATATCTCGACCTTATTTAAAGAGAGACCTATAGAAGAATTATATGTATAATATATAACACGGGTTCGATAAAATATCATATAATGTCAACAAGAAGTGACATTACAAAATCGTCCTATCGGACATTGTAAATAAATTCCTCTCTCTCTCTCTCTCTTTCTCTCTCTCTCTCTCTACCCCCCCCCCCCTTCCTCCTATCCCCCCTTTCTCTTTCTGTACGTGATAACGAATCGTATAATTTTTCTCGAAGATTTTACAAAAAATAGAAAACAAAATAAAAAAAAAAAAAAAAAAAAAAAAAAAAAGACGGTAGAGTGAGACTATATAAATTATGAATTATCTTGGTTCGCATTAAAATATGCGAATGCAAGAGATATAACGTCACCCATTGGAAAATGATCTTCCGTTGGGTATAATCGTTAAATGAAAATGGTAGACAACGATGTTTTATCCAGCGTGCCGATCCATAAAGAAGGCTTTATGTATTATCCAGTTTTCGACGACGGTAACTCGTAGTTTAATGCGTCACGATTGAATCATACAGTTGCTATGAAAATGACGTGTAATAGACAGCAATAACACAATCAAACTAGCAAGTATATAATATATACTGCACTCAGTATAGTTGGCTGCTTTTTAAGCGGATCTCTCATTTGCTCTCTCTCTCTCTCTCTCTCTCTCTCTCTCTCTCTCTCTTGCCTACTTATTTTATTTAATACATAAATATGTATATGCATCTAGATATTTTTCATAATATAATTATCATTTAATTTCGACGGTTAATGTGCTTTACAACTTTTATAACATAACAACGTTCTTTAACAACACATTGTTAATTGGTCATGAGTATATACTCGTTTACGACGAAAGCAAGCATGCACATGCATCCAAGTTATTTAATTATTAAAGTACAAAATAATAATGCAATTCGTGCAATTTTACAGAACAGGTCAAAGGTATCAAGGGTGAGGGTCAAAAGTTTCTAGATGATTTTAAATATCGCTTATCCTTTTTCTTTTTTTTTTTTTTTTTTTTTTTCTCTCGAGACTCTTTAGATTAATGTCTCCCTCCCGTTTTTTCGCTTTTTTCCCCCCTTTCGAATTATAAAACTTGCATGAAACTATAGGTTTAAAAAGTCTCGAGGAAAAAAAAAGAAAAAAAAAGAAAAAAAAAAAAGAATAATAGATCTTTTAAAATCATTTGGAAATTTCTTAGATCATCACTTTTATTACGTCGAATAATGTTTTCTTGACTTTTATGTTATCAATTTTCCTAAATTTGTAATATTTTAATTGTGATTTTAATTTTCAATTATATATATATAATCAAGACGAAACGCATTATCTTTTTTACATATTTATATGTATATAATAAAACTATCATATGTGAACAATGTGTTAAAATATTACAAGGATGGCCGGTAAAAGATAAAAATAAGAAATCGTTGCTTGTGACCTTCGGTCGATAAAATGAAAATTTTCATTTTCATAGTCAAATCGTTTTGGAATATAACTTCGAGGTAATAAACGAGATTGGATTTCTTCGAAGCGACTATCTCGTCATTTTCGAAGTATTCTTTCTTTTTCTTCTTCTCCTTCTTCTTCTTCTTCATCTTTTTTCTTTATAACATACTTTGAATTTATTGTTATACACAACACGTTCCTTTTTTTTTTCTTTTCCAAGTACTCGGATAAATAAGAGAACATGTACTTTCTTTTGAGAATTTTTTTTTTTTTTTTTTTTTTTTTTTTTTTTTTTTTTTTTTTTTTTTTTTTTTTTTTTTTTTTTTTTTTTTTTTTTTTTTTTTAAAGGAAAAAAATTACTTGACTGAAAAATCGAAAATAATAAAACCATACGTAGATATTTTCTACAAATATGAAATACTCGTTCGTGATTGGTCAAAAATTGTCATCGTTAAGGCGGCTTTTAATTTTATCTTCGTATAAAATTATTACTTATTATTCACAAATTTTTTTACTCGAAGAAATATATTACATTTATTTTAATATTAATATATAGTTTATATATACACACACACGTATATATATATATATATATTAATATATTTTTTAATTAATATATGTATCATGAATTTTTCATAACATACGTATAACAAAAAATTGCATTTACGAAAGTAGGCTTAAAGATTCGAGCGCGGCTTCCTACATGTGTAGGTGCGTAAGCGTGTGCGTATTTAGTGAGCTTGTGAATGCGTACGCGTAAAGGTGTGTATCTACGAGTGCTTTTTCTCATCGCCTCGGTAAGCGCGTCGTTTTTAGTAGAAAACGAGGACACGATTGTTTCGCCTCGGTGCTTTTTCGGACGCAACTTGTTTCGCTTCCTGCAAAAAGGTGATTCTTTAACGTCGAACGACGAAAATCCCATAGAAAATTGTGTATAAGTGATTTACGTCCATTATGCGTTCGTACATATATACATATATACATACATACATACATACATACATATATACATATATATATATATATACACACATAGATAAGAGTAATCGGTTAAACGAGTCATCATAGTTCATGGTTATTTTTATATCTTTATTAAGACGAAACACGCAAAATAGATCGATCGGTAAAACAGAAAACCTTTCTTTTATCTTTTTCTCTCTCTTTTTATATATATATATATATATATATATATATATATAAAATAATTAATTTCTTAGAAAAATTAAACAAGGAAAACTAATAAAAGAAATTAAATTCGTCAATTGGAAGATAAGTAATTACGTATGCATATATATGTATATATATATATATATATATGATGCATGTATGTATATATGTATGTACGTACGTATAAACATGTACGAATCAAGATGGCGGAGCTTCTTCATGCGACACGATATATCGTGGTTTTACATTCCGTTAATAGAAAGCTACTTGTGAAACGAGATACAATTATGCGAGTTGGTTGGAATGGTAGATGAGTAGTAAAAAAAAAAAAAAACGCACAGCACACACACGCACACACGTAGGACATACAAAAGAAAAAGAAGAAAGAAAAAAAGAAAGATAGAAGACATGTAGTAAATAAGTAGAAAGTATAAATCGTAGTGATTTCGTGTGAAATCTGGACGATAGTCTCCTTCCTAAGAGTAAGTTCCTTTTTAAATGGGTCAATTGTAGGTTAACTAATTAAATGGCTACAACCAAACCGAGGGAGAATTAAATCGTTAAGCAAGCCGAAACGTTAAGTTACGTCTATTTATTTATCCGTGCTTTAGAGAGCTCACGCATTCGTGATCATCGAGATGACAAAATCGTATGTATGTTGTGTATTTTGTGTGTGTGTGTGTGTGTGTAACTGTATGTGTAAGTACAGTAAGTAAGTAAGTGTAAATGTAAGCGTACGTTCTACTTTAAAGGTACAACTATTACCAACCACCATCGTTGTACTGCTTTAGGTATCTGAATTATTTCGTCACTCAATTGTTCCGTTTCGACGCGATTAGTTGTGGAAAAAAAAAAGAAAAAAGAAAAGAAAAAGAAAAGACAAACAAGCAAAAAAGGAAGTAGCAAGAAAGTCGAACGAACAAACAACCTGTCGACAGTCGGAATTGAATTTATTCGTAAATTAATGATTATAAATATAAACGCGATGATTTTTTTCTTCGCGAAATAATAAACGCTTGCAAGTCATATTTCTATGAAATCGAATTTTTCGCGGGGCGGAAAGGGGTGATGGGGAGAGCGGGAAAAACAGCCAACGTACCACCGATATCATCCTCAAGGATTTTTCTAAACGACTCATCATCGGGAATCTTATTTCGAGGAATTTAAACGCAATACTCGTTTTTAGGATTTTCCAGGCGGACGCAGTTACAAACAGGATATATTCTTTTACATCTCATCTTATTTTATAACTTCCTTTGATATTATAGGTTATTTCGTATGTATCATATGTACATATGGCTCGTGTTACTTCTTAGGGCTTGCCCTTTTAGAAACGAGTGATAATCTATCATCTATTTGACAAATATATGACATTGTTGTCTGCCTTATGAGAATATCGATATTCGATATATACTTACACACGCCCACATACATATATACATACATACATATATACATATATATATATATAAATAAACATGATACATTTATAATGATAAGAAACTAAAAAGTAGTTTCTGAAATTTTTATGGGAAATACTTTATCTTTTTTTTTTATTTTTTTTTATTCTTTTTTTTTTTTTAATTGAATATACCCATCGAGAACTGTCTTGTAAATCCATTGATGAATATAAAATGATAATAAAAATGAAAATAATAATAAGACAAAAAAAAGGGAAAAAAAAAAAAAGAAAAGAAAAGAAAAAGAAATATTTTTTTTCAACTAATGGTCGTTATCTAGTAAACATCGTTATTAATTAACTTCCAACACTTGGTATTATCACGATGATGGAGACACGAATACGCGCGTACTCGAAATAATCAAGTGCGACAGCTTTAGTTAAGCGATCGGTCGATAGATGGCGACAATCGCGCAGAATGGCGACGAACCCATCGTCGTCGTCGTCGTGTCATACGAATTCCGTTGCAAACCGAAAGAATCGACATAACGGTGTGCGTGTGTTTGTAAAGCATGCGCTCGCGCGCGTGACACTTGTTGCTAAAAAAAAAAAAAAAAAAAAAAAAAAAGAAAAAGAAAGAAAGAAAAACAAATGGGTAAAAGGAAAAACGTTCGCGGTTTCAAGACAAGATCGTCCAATAGTTTCTATGTACCTCAGTCCCGTGGTAAAATCAGACTTGGAAAAAGGTAACGCAGCACACTTATTGTTAGTCTCTCTTGCCTTCTTCCTTATGGAATCTCGACTATTCGATACCTTCTTGCTTTTCATTTACTACGTGACGGAATGTTAATGAGATTCAAGATAAGTTAAGAAATCATTTTTTTTCTTCTCTTCTTTTTTTTTCTTTTTTACAAGATTAACATTCGCTACAGAAATATGGATGAATAATAATTGTCGAATCGACGCTTTTTATATTCTCTTTTTTTTTTTCTTTCATTTGAAGAAGAATTTTTTTTCAAATTGGTATTATACGCACGCATATGTTTACAACATTTTTAAATACTTTTCTTTATATCAAATTTTATTTTTTCATTATTTAATCATCTATTATTATATATTTATTATTCTTTATTATATTTTGTATTATTTATTTTTGTATAAATTTATTTCTTAAATTAAGTATTACGGTTAATGTTGATTGGTTAATTCTCGATGTATCTTTAAAAAGATTGTTTCCTTTCTTTTTTTTTTCTTTTTTGTTTTTTATTGCTCGATACGATCGTCTACCTATTTTGGCCTACTCTTTTATGGGGGAAACAGATATTCTAGAAGACCAAAGTAGTACAATATAGTTCTTCGAAAGTAGTAGAGACTCATATAAAGAGAATGTATGTATGTACTTATGTGTTATATATATATATGTACGTACATGTAAAAGTAGGTACATAAACCTGTTTCGGAAAGTGAGTGAAAGACTTTCTTTAGATATTTATCTATTGATCGATCGATCGATCGATTGATTTCGAGACTTCATGAAAACGTGCCGTGACGTATTATTCGACATCCGCGCTTTGCTATTACGTTAAATAGAATAGTCGTCGATGGTTACGTTAAGATTCAAGTTTCGAAAGTAATTCTCTAATAATATTTGTTGCATCCGATGGAAATAGAAATGAGAACGCGTTGTCTCGAATTACGAGAACTTTAGTCATATATGCTGAGAATTCAATTGGATCACCTTTCATTTTCGGAAACTCGAAAAACTATCTTTAGCACAAAAGATTATCGTCGTCTTTCTCTATCTCTATCTATCTTTATCTATATATATATATATATATCCATACATTATATATACAAATATATATATATGTATGTATATATATATATCTTTATAACTTGAATTATCGAGAACATTGTTAAAGTGATTTGCGCGACAGTAGCGACACGTCACGGACATTTACCGTAAATATAATCGATTTGATTTTAGATATCGAAATATAGATTGAGAATGAATATAAAGATACGTATTAAGATAGAGAAAGGTAAGATGGCGTCGTGAAAGAAAGAGTGATCATTTCGTTGAAAGTTTCAAAGATGATATTCGCGAGATATTTTGAAGCAAGGGTAAAATTTCAATGGATAGGAAAGGAAGAGGAAGAAGAAGAAGAAAGATGGCAGGAGAAGAGGGAGGAAGAGGAGAAAGAGGAGAGGAAGGAAGAAAGGATGGAAGAAAGGAGGTGCACTAAGCAAGATAGGAGGAGGCGATTTTACGCTCGAGGTACGCCTAGGCTAACTTTCTCCGCGAATGAAAAAATACACGTCATAAGATATATACGCGTTACCTAACCTATAAAGTCTATCTTCGAAGTCGCTGACTCGTGCGTCCTCTTAGAAACCCTCTTTTCCGATCCCCCCTCCCCTGCCCGCCAGAGCTCTTCAACCCTCTAACATCGAACTCATTCCTTCTCTTTCATTTTTAAACGTATTATATCCTCGTCGCACCAGTTTTTCTTTTCTTTTATTTTTTTTACTTTTTCTGTCTCCCTTTCTTTTTCATTGGTTATACATACATATATACATACGTGTATATTATCTACCATTCGACCTTGTTTGTGGGAAAAAAAAGTGTTCTACGTAGCAAACTTTTTTCATTTGTACACACACACACACACACACACACACACAAAAGTATAAACGTACGTGCACATTCTCGATTCGAAATAATTTCTTAAAAAGAATCAACTTAATCGAACGAAAAAACTTTTGATTTTTTATAATTAGAAATATTCGAGATTTTAATGTTTTAGACTAATTTGCTTTTCTCATTTCGATAATGAAATAATTCATTAGCTTTGGCTCCTCCCCCTCCACTCTCGGCAATGGACTCTCTTCGATCGATTTCCGTTCTGCGAGACGGTACCACCAACATTTCCACGCATATACACACGTATACGTACGTAACATATATATATATGTATATATATATATATATATATATATATATATATATATATACACATGCATATAGAGACATACCATACGTCGGACCGAGGCTTGTGCTTTGCAGTTTAGCTCGTAGTACATACATATGTATATATCATGTATGTACTTACTTCGCTGGATGCGTACCGTTACATCCATCCTACTCTTACATCATTGTTCTACAGCGTTTGCCGATTAAACGGAACTTTAACCTCAAATGAAATTAGATCTTGTTAGAATTGCATTTTCGTAGTACTTGAAATATATATATATATATATATATATATATATATATATATATATGTGAAAGATATAATTCAATTTATTAACATTAAATCAATATTAATCGATATTCGACATATCGATTTCTCTCGAGCGTTATTTTAAAAATACGTCACTGGATTACGCGAAAGAGAGAAAGAAAAATGAAGAAATATGTCCGTATAAGTATAGACGACTTCCTGAAACTTTAAACACGAAAGATAATTCATGTAATTTATTAACAATGAATTAATATTAATCGATATTTGATTAATAATAATGTTTCTCGAGCGCCATTTTGAAAATATCTTATCAAGATTATTTCGCGATATTAAAAATTCGAGATATAATACAATTGATTTATTAACAATGTAATTAATATCAATCGATATTGAATTAAATGATTTTGCTTGGGCGTCATTTTTTAAAATATATCACGATTGCTCGAAAGAAGAAAAAAAAAAAAAAAGAAAAAGTCACAATTAAGTTCTTACTTACGTGATAGGAAGAAAAAAAAAAGATCCATGTAATAGAATAGAACCGATCACAATCTAGAACGATCAAAATAGAAAAATATATAATATAAAAATAATGTTGTTCCTCTATTGCTCTCGGTTACGTTTAAAGAGGATGAACAAGAAGAAGAAGAAGAACGGAGGCCGGCCATGTCTCTAAGGAACGTTGGCCCGTGTCCGTTCTCTCCGTAGGGGCCTTGAAAGGAATGCGCGCGCGCGCGCCTCTTAAAAAGAAATCGGTGAATGCGCTTTTACACGCGTGCTTATAAATAAATGCGTCCAGTGAACCGGACGTGCTATCGTCGAAAAAATATTTGATCCTCTCCTCTTTTTTTGCATCGATACGCGTTCAAAATCTTTTCCAAAGTACGTTTTACTTTTATATAATTTTCTGTTAATCGATTACAAAGTTTAAAAAAAAAAAAAAAAAAAAAAAAGAAAAAAGAAATAGAACTACAATCGTTGGACGTTACGCGATCAAATTTAATTAATTTTTTTCTTTTTCCTTTTCTTTTTTCTTTTCTTTTTTTCTCTCCTTTTCTTTCTTTTATTTTTGTTCTCGCGTTCTCGAAACACGTCCTCCCTTTTCCCCATAATAGCCTTTCACTTTTCGATATAGTTTCTTTTTCTTTTTTTTTATTCTCTTTTTTAAAAATGTTGAATATTCTTAACGGGAGTTATCAGACGTAACAAAAGTTTTATCAATAATGTTAATAGAAATTATACATATATTTTGTATTATTAAAAAAAAAAAAAAAAAAAAAAAAATGGCATATATATATGTATATAAGAAAATGGACAAAAATCGTACATTTTTTGCTTTTAAAACAAAAAAGAAAATGTATTAATCTGGATTATCGAAAGTAACTTAAAGTATCTCATAAATATACAGATAGGTAGTTTGTTCTACTTTGTTGGTAGTTCTCTCCACTCTCTCTCCTCTCTCTCTCTCTCTCTCCTCTCTCTCTCTCTCTCTCTCTCTCTCTCTCTCTCTCTCTCTCTCTCTCTCTCTCTCTCTCTCTCTCCCTCTCCTCTTTACGTGTATATATCTATAGTATTTTTCTTGGCACGGCTATCGAGCAAGTAGCAGCAGTAGCAGCGCAGCAGTACCAGCTTCTCTTTCGCTTATTGGACGCTTCCATTTTCAGGAGGAAAATGAAAAGGTTTCGATCGCACCTTCTACTTCATTGGATTCTTTTCTCTCTACCAACGTCTCTTACGTAGCGTAGTACATAGAAATGTAGATGCATGCATATATATATATATATATACACATACATACGTCTCTCTGTGTACTCTTGTAAAAATCCTTTTTTTTACAAACTAACTCTCGACGACAAGTCTCTGCATACACACATATAGAAAGAGAGAGAGAAAAAGAGAGAGAGAAGATAGAGAGAAAAAGAAAGAGAAAGAGAGAGAGAGAGAGAGAGAGAGAGAGAGAGAGAGAGAGAGAGAGAGAGAGAGAGAGAGAGAGAGGACTTGCGACGCCATATATTCGAGACGAGGACAATATGCAAGGTTATCGGAAAGCGACAGGGATACTTTGATACTTTGTTTCTCTCTTTTTTACACACATTCTCTCTGTAAGTGAGAAATGTTACATGTATGTATACATCTGTGTGTATATATATATATGTATGCGATGGTTGAGTTGATATTATTGTCGCTTGGGTTAATTTGTTTATTCAATGATTTTACAAAATTTCATCTCTCTCTTCTTTCATGAATGAATATTAGTAACATATATATATATATATATATATATATATATATATATATATATATATATATATATTCGTGTATATTATTAAGTGAATCCAAATAAATCATTTATCGACTGACTTTACAAAAGTCGAGAACGAGAGAATCTTTAAAAAAAAAAAAATAAATAAAAAAAAGAACGGTTTATTGCTGACTTTGCAGTAAACAATATTATTTTATTGGGAAGTAAGCGAATCAAAAGTTATTTCCCTTGACAATAATTAACTTTACTTTCCATTTACCTACCATCTTTATATATATATATATATATATATATATGTAAGTATATACGGATATAATGTGCATTGATTAGTAAGCATTAAACGCAAAGATTTGCTTGATCGATTCTGCATCGCTAATAATTTCTAATTAATTTAAGTAATTAATTTCCTGCGAAATTGATTTACATGAAATATATGACAACCCTATATATTTATTCCCGATTCTTTTGAAATTCGCAGACGGTGGCATTGAAAAAAGAGACTTTTAGGCATGTATTATGTATTAACGTGTTGTTGATCGTCGTTCAAATCGATACGAGACGTTATATATCGTTGTTTATGTGTCACATGTGTGTGTGTGTGTGTACACGTGTGTGTTTGTACTGTACGTATCGTTGATTAATTTCTTTTGATATGTTTTAACAATCCTTGATTGCCATTGATCGATAATACCAGCCGATCTTATCAGTCCAAAATAAAAATTCTTATCTCTATAAATCTCTTTTGTATTTGCAAAGATATATATATATATATATATTTACTAATAATAATATATATATATATATATATACACAATGTCTCCTTGATTATTATTTTAATTGTCCATATATACATACGTATACATACGCGCAACT